TAGGTTCGTTCAGCTTCTAGAACCGCGGAGGAATCGAAACGTATGTAATACATGCATAGATATACATATACTATATATATATATATATATATATACAATCTAGTCTATTGCATTACACATATATAGATCTATACGTACGTGTACACTATCGGCCAAAAGTGTCTGAAATCGTTACGTATAAATTTAGTGAAACAAAGTATTTATCAGTATATTAAATTTTCATGAAAATCGACATGCAATTTTTAAACTTTTTCATTATCAGTGTATCCATACACACGTGACATCCCAGAAAATGTTTATATTAAAATAATTTACAAATAGAAAAAACAATCTCAAAGAGGGGATGCAACCGCGAAGATCAATTAAGATTTTTTAACGTGTAACACATTTTCTTATTTTTACTTTACATACATAATACTATTATTATAATAATGAAAAATAATGAAACTGTGATGTGGGGTAAAAAGTGATCGTGCAAAAAAACGCCGCACCACTTATCGACCAATAATAATCTTACGAATCGTTTGAAAAAAATTATCGATATACAATATTTGATTTTTCTTAAAAATCAACAAATGATATCAAACTTTTAGCCGATAGTGTATATGTACGACGTATGTATGCATGTTACAGTAGGATATACATGTAACATTCATACATACATACTTACATACACACACATATATATGCATGTATACGTACGTATGGATATTTGAAAGCAAAGTCATTCCCGAGGGTGACGCCTTTGGTATAGTAAAGGCTCGGAAGGAGAATAGAGAGGAGGAGGAGGAGGAGGAGGACGAAAGGGTGAAGAGGGAAGGACAGTTTATCTCCGGCACCATAAACGTGCTAGATATTATGGATAGTGGACTGAGTTACGGGCCAATATTTCTTCGTAATTATTCTACGTTCCTCGGTAGTAGATAGCATCGGGGGATAACGGCTATACGGCTGCTTGTATGAGTCGAATACTCGCGCGCGCGAACGATCCCTTCATCCCTTTTCTCCTCCTTCGTTGACTTACTCTTCTTTTTTTCTTTCCCCCCCCCCCGTTTTTTTGTTCTTTTCTTTTTTCCCTATTCTTTTTTGTCTTTTTTTCTTTTTTCCTCCTCCTCCTCCCCCTCCCCCCCCCACACCGCCTCCTCTTACAATTTACCTTCCAATTTTTTTATTACCCCGATGAGACAGACTTTCCAACGCGATATTGGACTTCTTTTTTCATGGCTTCGATCCAAAGAATTTATTGCCGGCATTTATATCCTTGCACCGAAATGAACGATATGACCTCTTTCTCTATTTCTTTCTTTCTTTCCTTCCTTCCTTCCTTCCTTCCTTCCTTCCTTCCTTCTCTCTCTCTCTCTCTCTCTCTCTCTCTCTCTCTCTCTCTATCTCAATCTCGTTTTTTTTTTAATTTTTTTTTATTTCGTTCAACCGAATACACTTTATCGTGTTCGATCGGAGTTAATTTCGATTCGAGTTCGTATCGATGATTTTTCCTCGAATAAGAAGTGGCTGTTATATAGGATAAAAAATTGTCAAGAAAAAGAGAGGAGATGGGGGGTGGGGTGTTGGGTGGTTGTATGCAATGTTTGACAAACGAGGGGGAAAAAAATAAAAAAATAGTAATATTAAAATAAAAAGAAAATCTTCTCTTTTTATATATATATATTTTGCAGGAATATTTGCGGTGTAGTAGAATGCGAGAGAGGTGATTCAACTGAACGAGTATTGAATTCGTTATGATCATGGCCGATTAAAAATGAGCGAGCACCGGGCCGGTGAATCGACATTTTTCCAACGCACACGAAAGTACACCGCGGCCCAGTGTTGTTCGGGCGCTTTCTAGCGTCCGCTTTTGCGAATAGCGCTTTGCTGGTGCTGGTACTACTGGTATTGGTATTGGTGCTGGTGGTGCTGTTAGGTGGTATTTCTAAGCGTACGTGAAACCGATTTAATAGAAATGGCTTTTTACATAACGAGATTTTCATGTACGCCAGGAAATGCGCTCGATCGTACTTTGACCCGTTTTTATCGAACGAGCATATGTATCTTTCGCTTATACACACGCGTCTATACGTTCTACGTGTATTCATATGTATGTGTGATATATATATATATATATATATATATATATATATATATATATTGGAAAATATTATTGATGTTCTCGTCGTCATTTTGTTCGCAAAGATCGATGATGTTTTATCGAAGAGTAGCAACGAGATGCTGCTGTTGCTGTTGCTGCTGCTGTTGCTGTTGGTTGACCGCGGTTTATGTCGCGTTGAAGCGAGTAAATAAGTGTACGGATGATGGTGATATCCATCCATCCATCCATCCTCACCCCCCTAACCCCCGAAATATGAGGAAATCGAAAAACGAGGAGACGATGATACGAGAAGCTGCGAAAGCTATTTCCGTAACGAGACGTCGGGTCACCATAAAAGTGAGAATCCTACACGAACTGTGATACCACCTTCTTCTTCATCTATCTTTTTCTTTTAGGATTCGTCGTCCCATCTATCCTATCCATTCATATATATATATATATTGGCTTGACCATAACGTTTGTGTCGATATAAAAAAGAAAATTCAGAGGCAACGATTTTATATTATACTTTTATTGTTTTTTTTTCTTTTTTCTTTTTTTCTTTTATTCGAAATTTCCGATCAATCCGATATTACATACATTTTGCTATCATTTGATCTAATAAAAATGCGTTGTTTTAAAAAAGAAAGAAAATTCACACGTTACGATTTCGTATATTTCTTCTAATTTTTACATGTTTGTTTATATTTAAAAATATATCTTCGCGTGCGAGCAAACGTTTTTCTGATCGCTACAACGTTGTTCTTTCTCTCCCCTATTTTTGTATTTTCTTTTTTACTTTATTTCTATATGTTTAACATATTTCTTTCTCCCTCTCTCTTTCTCTTTCTTTTCTCATTCGAAACCCTTCGGCAGTTTGTTCTCTTTTTTGTTTTTTTCTTCTTCTTCTTCTTTTTATACCACTGAGGATAAAGGCAGAAATTGTTATTTACATTTCTACGTTGTTTCCTCCTACTTATATTTTTCGAATTAACCATTTACAAAGCGAATTATATAAACTTTTCGGGACTGTTTTGATAAAATTACACGTAAAATACCAACAGCGAAATTGAAGAAACTATTTCCTAACTGGTATAATTTAGTTCCCTTTTTATCAAAAGTACTGAGACCAATTTATGAGAAATAACGTGGAATATGCATGTTACGTAATATTTTCTATAAAAGTTCATCTAGGAATTATATATTTTTCCTCTCTTTATTTATAGTAATTTTAATTATTATTACCATTGTTCGCGCATCTGTTATAGCATTTATGCAAAACGCCAGTGATATCCGGAAAAGAATATTATTTTCATACGCGTAAATGAGATCCTTTTGCCTATTTATATATTTTTTTTTCTTTTCGTTTGCTCAATATTTTTTCCTTTCTTTTTAATTTTAAACATATTAATTAAAATGCAAGGATAGGTTTCGAGAGCGTGGAAAGGGAAGAACAATTTCACGATTTCAATGAATTCGTTAAAACGCAGACAGAAACGGAGATAGAAAGATACTTCTTGGCCCTTTCCGCGATCGTTTTCATTGGCCTAAGGGCAAAATGGGAAGGTGTATTCGAGAAGTAGAAAAGTAAAAGGTAGAAAGGTAACGATCGATGGCAAAAGTTGAGCGTAATTGTTCGCGAGAGTGTTTTCCCTTTCTTCTTCGTTCAGTCATACCATTCTATCCTACTCCTCCTCCTCCTCCCCCCGTCCTCCCTTCTTTAGAAGGGTACGTTAGAGGAGGTGAGTCTTATTAGGAAGAAGAACTCACGGAAAAGTTAATTTCTCGTTATTTCACTACCCCTGGCAACGATTAACCGAGAAAAGAGGTTCGTGAACAGAAAAAAAGGTGCATTTTCGTGGGGGAAAATCCTTGGAAAACGTGGAACGATTAGTCGAAGAAAAATCCCTAAGGGCTAAGGATTAATATTAAAAGTTCTATTTTTCGTTTGATTCACCTTATCGAAGCTAAACGATTATCCCAAATCGTGATTCGTACAATAACGATACCCCCGATCTTATTTTCAAATTGTACTCTTTCTTATTTTTCTTTTTTTTTTTCTGTCTGCTCTTTCTTCGTGTGTCATGAATATAAAAAAAAAAAACCATAAAATAAAAAGAAAACTGTGTAAGAAAAAGTGAAATTTAAAATTGACGAATGTTTTAATGTTTCAGGATGGTCCGCATGATCGGCGATGAATTTTTGACAGAAGAAAGGGACCGAAAATATTACGCCGACCATTATACCTGTTGTCCACCACCCCTCTTCATCATTCTCATCACCCTAGTCGAGGTGAGTGCGGGTAGAAGGGAGAGTAGTGTAATCCGTAGTTTGTAACGAGCGTTGTACAGAGGCTACTGGAGTGTCCATGTTTATATAGACGGGACACTGCTCTTTGATCTTCGGCCGTGCACGTGCAAGCCTTGATTAGTAAAATTTTAACGAGACTAATTTATACACGAACGGTCCACCAACACTCCGTCTACACGCGTTCACGATTTTAACCTACTACCTACCGTCAACGTGTAGTACGAGCATTGCAATCAAATTTCAAGATTTTAGATCTTCCTCGTCTAATTAATAAAATGAAAATAAGATCTTACGTAATTTTTTCTTTTTTTTTTTTTTCTTTTTTTCCACGAGTTATCTTCTTTTCGTTACGCCGCATATTTTTTTATGCTTACTTCGATGATAATCATTTTTTTTTTTTAACGAAACAGAACAATATTTTGTACTGTAAAATAATTCAAGATTTGTGTATTTTCTTATTATTGGATATATAATATAAAAGAAGATATAAAATTTAAGATTCGAAAAGTTACAACAATTTTCATTTTGATAATACTTGTTTTATATATACGCGAATTGGAACAATATTTTTTTTTTATATCAGAAATTACTAAAAATAATAATATATTTCTCGTTATAGATTTTGAATATTTTTTTGTTTATTCTAATTATTAAAATTAAAAAAGAAAATGTAATATCCATGAAATGAATTTTTCAACCCCATTTAACGATATCTACCATCAGGCTTCCCCACCCGCGTATATTTGTATAAATTCATTTATTGCTTATTTAATTTCCACTTATTAATTAATATGTAAGAGATGTATTATACAAGCTGGAACGAATCTTTTTCTCTTGTTTGTTTGTTTGATTGTTTTTTTTTTTTTTTTTAATTAAAAGACGATGGTTTGAAGGGGTTGGACTCCCCACTTATTGGTGAAACGAATGCTAACAATCAACAAAAGAACGTCGTTGGTATACCGTATCAATTTACCAATTAATGGAGATTTCGTTCTTCCTATTATTTGGCCAACTTTTTTTCCCCTTTCCGTTCTACTCCTACCTCCCCCCTCCCGCCCTGTTCCGGGCTCGAAAAGGGAAGAAGAAATTCTCTGAGCGAACCAATTAGCAGATTGTCGTTCGAGCGTGCACCGTGTTAACGTTCCAGTCACGATCGATTCGAACGCGAAATACGGATATTCGACGTTTGGAATGCCAAAGGGATAAAAAAAAGAAAAAAGAAAAGAAAAAAAAGAAAGAAACTCGCTTTGGGGATTGGAATCTAGATGCACCTGGAAGAACAAAGGAGCAAAACCATTTACTAAGACTAAGATCGGCAAAGATACGTCGCGTTTGACCATTTACTGTAATTAAAATGCGAAATTTAATATTTCGACGAATGAACGAACGAACGAACGAACATGTTTAACGTATGTTCGAAGGAAATATCCAATCACGTATTTACCCTTATTTTATTTTTTTTCAATTAATATGTTACGATCATATTAAGTTATTCGTTATGTAAAAAAAATTTGATTAAAAAGTGTGCCCCATCGTGTTACTTCGTTATATTACTACTCATATAAAATATTCATTTAATATAAATTTTTAAAGAAATATTTCACTTATCTCGCATATATATATATAGAAAAAAAAAAAAAATAAAGTTACGTCAACGAAACTGCTAATAGCTTCAGGAATAGTTTAGTTCGTCGGTTGGTAATACGAATTACATGGAATGAAAATACTTGGATGGTTTGTAGTAGGAGGAAGAGGAAAAGATCGCGTATGTATTATACATAGAAGTAAATGTCCTAGCTACACATACATACACAGAGAGAAACTTACTCGCGGTAAAATATATTGTTTATACGATAACTAGCGCTGTCCTCCGCTATTCGAGTATCCCTTGCCACCATATTTCGCGGCAATGAGCACCGGCAAACTTTTATCTTGGTCGAGGGCTGATAGATCGTTTCTCGCGAGCACCGTTTTACAACACGAACGTATATATATGTATGTGTGGGTCGAAGGTGCCACCACGCTGTGCCTCGTGGCCTCTTCCTTTTCCTTTCTTCCTACTCGTGCCAACGTGAGTAACACTACCTATACCACCACAATAAGAGAAAAAGACGTACGAGTTGGAAAAGGACTTTCTCGTTTGTGGGGAAGGGGATGGCGGGGTGGGAGTTAGGTGGAGAGGGAAGGAGGGTATACCCCCATCGGTAAAAGGGAGAAAGCCAGTAATCTTTCGTGCGGAACCAACCTTTATTTCTGGCTGTCGCATATTTTCTTTCTGTCGGCCCTTCGTAAGTAACTGAGAGAGAGAAAGAGAGAGAGAGAGAGAGAGAAAGAGTTTTTCTTGCTCGTTTCGCAAGAATCGATCGATAATCTTGATCCTAGTTCTTCTAAGCCAGTCCTATATTCCCCCCCTACCCCCTATCCTCTATCCCCTTTCCACCCATATCTCTGTCTTTTTTTTTCTACCTTCTTTACTTAAGTGCACCCTTTCTTCTTCACTTTTTTCTTTTCTTTATTTTTGCGTCCCCCTTTCTTTCACTTTTTTTTTCTTTTTTTTTTTTCGCTTTCTTTCTCTCTCTCTCTGTTTCTCTCTGTGTTTACATCGTATCGATATCGTTAGAGAATACACGGTTATCTAAACAACCGTGAGGCTTTATCGATCGATACCATATTCCTCTTTCCTCTTTCGTTTTTCCTCCTCCCATATTCATCCACCTTCCGCTTCCACGGTCTCTACAACTCGTTCCCTCATCGTCGACATAGTTTACATCGTCTCGTCGTACGTTGAACGTTAGCCTCGAGGCTACGTCCACGTGACGACGTACCTATTCCCTCTCTTTCTCTCTCTCTCTCTCTCTCTCCTCTCTCTCTCTACTTTATTCTTTCACCACTTTTTCTTCTTCTTCTTTTATCCCTTTTTCTTTTTAGAGTTCTTCTTCTAGTGTTTCTTTTAAGAGTCAGTTAACTTTACAAAATTTCTCTTACCAAAATTGTTTTATGTAAACGATGAAACAATTATCTATCGAATTTTAATCTTATTCTTTTAAGAAACAAATTTTTTTTCTTTTTTCTTTTTAGTTTTAACGTGTAAAATGGAAGGAAAAAGTAATAGACAATGAAATTTATCGTTTATTATATATAATCAAAATTGTATGATACTAACAACACAGGGTTAAACTAAAATTAGTTTTAACGAGTAAGAACAAAAAAAAAAAAAGAAAAAAAGATATGAAAATTCTAAAAGCCCAACCTCTATCGACGCTAAAATGCAAAATAAAAATGTTCTACGCGTAAAGATTGCTTTTTTTCTCCTCCTCCTCCTCTTCCTCCTCGTCCACCTTTCCCCCTATTTTTTTTTTATAGGACAAACTAAATTACCACATACACACGCGGTGGTCTCGGATAATACAAAAAAAAGGTAACGGTAAATCGAATCAATCCCGTTACGAATTGATCTATTGATTTTTTGACAAGAATTACGAATAAAATTGGATTGATCGATGTGAATGGAAAATTCTTTATAAAAAACAAAAACAAAAAAAAAAAAAAGCAAAGTGTAAACCTTGGAAATTTGATCGTTCCTATTATTCTACGGGTTTATAGTAACTAGGAAGTTTATTCTCAAAGGGGCGTGCAGCAAGTGCTTCTTCTCCGATAGATAGAAATCAAGGTAAGGACAGACGGATTTCTGGTCTGTAGCGACCAAGGACGACCTTGAGATAAGGGTGCCGGATATTACGAAGTAACGGAACTAACTGTTTCCATCTCTCTTCCTCTTTTCTTTATCGTATCTCATAGTTCTCTATTCCCTCTCCGAAGCAAGCTGCGACCCTCTCTATCTATACTCCTCTAACCTTCCTTACCTTTCTCATTCTCTTTCTCTCTTTCTCTCTCTATCACCCTCGACAACCCCCCCCCCGCCCCTTCACCATAGTACGACTACTCCCCGACTAAACTAACCTCGTTACAGAGGAACGATATTACACGGAGCGAACATCGTCGTCGTAGTCGCGCTTAACTGCAACCCGTTGGAAGGACGGATATTAAGGGCTCGTTTACCGTGGCGAGAAAAGTATGGGCTTTACCAGTAGAAAAAGCTACAACCAACGAGAGAGAGTTTCTGTCTGTGTGTGTGTGTGAGAGTGAGAAAGCGAATAGAAATTTGTTCGATAGACGTTTTATCGAGAAAGAACAAAAATAAAATATATATGGGGTATTCCACGTCAAATCGACCAATTTTGTTGACCCCTGTGACCCTTTTCGATTTAGCTGAACCACTTTTTTTTTTATATTATTTTCTAACCCATTAAAAAAAAAACCTCTATAGAAATATTTGTAAATTTATTTAATATGACTTTAGTTTTAATTATATATTATAGAAAATTATAATTATAATAAGATTGCAATGCACTCATGGGGTCAATTATTCATGTAAATATTATTAACAATTTATTTCGATTTCTTTGGTCGTTTAAATAATTTACAAACGGTATATTGTTCTGAATTAGTAATATTTCTTTGCAAAAGACATCAAAAAAGAAAAAAAGAAAAACGTCCCGATAAGTCAATTTTTGGCAAAGTTACGGCTATTTGATAGGAAAAAGCCCATTTTCTTTTTTGGAAAATTCATAACTTTTTTTGAGTTGGGTAAAAAAAAGTTTGAAAAAATTCTCACAGAGGTTTTCAATGGGTTAGAAAATGAAAAAAAAAAAAATTTCAGTCAAATCGAAAAGGGTCGGGGTCAAATGTGGTCGGTTTGACGTAGAATGCCCCATATACATATACATATACACCGCGTATACGTGTTCGATGGAAAGAATTTTGTTTTTTTTTTTGTTTTAGATCTTTTTTCCTCTCTTTTCTTTCCTACTTTCGAATAAGCTTGTTTTTTGTTTTCTTCTTGGACGATATATATATATTTTGTTTTTTATACGCGTAGAATTCACTATGATGAAAAATGAATAATAGGAGAGGGATCGAAG